GGCATCTCTTTACCTGGAAAGTGCTGCAGATTTCTTGGTACCAGACTTCCCTGTCTGTGGGCAGGTGATGCGCCTGGCCTCGCACTTCCTGCTGTTGTCCCATTGTGAATACTCCAGAAAATTCGTCAGCAAAGTGCCTGGGAAGAATTTCTGTCAGTGTGAATGATTCTTCTATGTATTTCCTCCTGGAGGCATAGAAGCCATCTCCAGACTGTTCAAACTATGGGTGATGTGTGTGTGCACCATCACAGATGTGCACTTCATTAGTCTTTGTGAACAAGAGCAGCAACGTTACTTACCAGTTTGAATGATCTCTCCATGGTTGTGGTGCTTCAGAGTAGCTGGAATTACATGCTTGTTCTTGGCCTGTTCTTACCATCCTAGTTATCGAATGAGAATGAAACGAAGCACTTTTAACCTATTTTCTGACTTCTTGTGGCACAGAGGCTGGCCTCAGCTGATGTCAGCTGGTAAATGCTGCAGCATCACAGTGCTCAGCCGTCGTCGTTTGCTTTCACTGAGCAAATAAGCAAATACACACTTATCAAGGCTATTAGATATGAGGTAGAAGGATATTTTTAGACTCAGATCTCTGGAATTCTGAAATCTTCCTAAAAATCTTTATGGCCAGCAAGGGATCCCAGTGGTGTGGTTACTGATGTGGTGGTTGGTCCCATTCAAGAGCTAAAGGAGTGTGATGGCGCGTGGTTCCAAATTCTGGTTGGGTTTTTAGGGCTGTATAAATTAGCTTCCAAAATAGAATCTGTTGTGGCAGGAGGGAAGAAGCAAAATGCCCCGTTGCTAAGGAACATGACAGAGAACTGGGAGATGTGACTCAGTTCTTGGCTTTGTATGATTTCTCTCCAGTAAGATGTGGGTCCACAGAGCACGTCTTGCTAAGTGTGAAGGGAAGGATATTAAAAATATTGACTGAGGTTTTAAGAAGAGCTTGAGAGAACTGCTCTGAGGGGAAGCAGCTGAGCTAAGTCTGCTCAGCAGTGGTTGTGCAGGTAAACCTGTTTGCAGTCAGTGTGCAGGATCAGGAGCATATCAGATAGGTGGCAGCTCCGCTGAGTTTTGATATGCTCCTGGTTCCCATTGCTGCTCTTTCTCTCCCCACAATGGAGTTTAATTTTGGAGGAAAATGGGTCTCTGGGGGCTGATAGACTGGAATGATTTCAGCTCGCCTTACTGTAAATCTCTCATCACAGGGGATGGATTTCCTTTCATTTCGCAATCCCTCGCTGTGCTTCTTTTTTTTTTTTTATGACATTCCCACACCTCTTGATTCCATCTTTGATTTTGTGTCTGGGTGTTGCAGTTTGTTGATGTGTTATGACCCAAGCACGTGGCCCTGCTTTGCCCTTAGCTCTGCAGCAGCTCTCAGCAGGGGCTGCTTGGGCTCAGCAGCACACAGCCCCTGGGGGGAGCAGGAGAAACAAACAGTGATGTGTGCTGGAATGTGGGTCAGCGAGCAGCTCAGATCTTCTCCCAGAGTCCAAGTTTACCAATTGTCTATTAGAAAACATGCTGCTATCAACAATCCCGTGGAGGGGGTTTATTTCCAGGAGTGGGTTGGAAGGGGGCAGGCAATGGATGTGTGAGGATGTGCCATAGGAAGCTGCCATTATCCTGCTGGAAGTTTGGTGCTGTGTGTCTGTGAGCACTTTGCTCTTATGTGCGCATAAACTGCAAGTGCTGAGAGCTGCTCGTGTCTGCTTCTCTTAATTTCCCCATTCTCTGAGAAGAGGCAGGAGATGCTCTCCTGGGATGCAAGTGTCTCATCATACAATGTTGTCTGTACTTTATTTTGTTCTCAGAGTGCTGCAGTGAGAAATGACTGAAAAGGAGAGGGGAAAAGCACAGAAAGATTTGGTTACACAGTCAGGCTGCGTTTATTGAGAGAATTCTCCTCTTTGGTCCCCGTGATTGAAAGCCAAGGGGCCAGGAGGCAGAGCTCATTCTGCTTGTGCTGCCGTGGACAACTGCAGTGGACAACTGCTGTAATTAAATACTACATTTCAGAAATGGTCTCCATTAGAGTTTCACAGCCCACCCATGATACTGCTGGTTCAGCAGGTTGCTTTGATCCAGGTCACTTCCATGATTCAGCTCCCAGTGCAGCCCTGCAGGGGGATGCGGGAACCCAGAAGGAGTGCTGTGATGCTCGAAGGAAGGTGGGCATGTCCTCAGCATGTCCTAAGTGATGCATGGGGGCACTCAGCCCTCAGTAACCCAGGAAAAGCACTTTGTGCTGATCTGCAGCCATGAAAGCGCTTTGAAGCAGCTGCTGGCTGACACATTTCTCCAGGAAACGAGCTGTGTAAAGTGTATCCTGAAGTGCTTTACAGTCTGCGGCATGAGGGCGAGCAAGCCCTGCTTTTAATGAAGTAATTGTTATTTAATAGTTTTTATCAATGTCAGGGGAGTTTGGGGCCTTGCTTACACTACAAAGACTGGGTGGAATGGCAACAACGGCACAGATTGATCAGCGATGGCAGCTTCCCAGAGCCACAGCAAGCCTGGCACGGAGCTCTGCTGCTTTTCCCTCCATGCACAAAGGCTTTGGCCAGCACAGCTGTGGCACTGAAGGGTGTGGTATTTTTTGCACTCCTAATTGATGTATTCTTGCCAGCAAAACTTTAAAAGTAGTCCAACCTTGGGTTATTTTTTGACTGTTATTATTTTTTTTTCGCAGCCATTCTCACTGTGGCTGACAGTTTGCCTTTGCTTGCTTGGCCAAACCTGCCCTTGGAGGGAGATCAGCCCTCTTCTTTCTAGGAGAGCTGCAGCTTCTTGATAAACAACTTGTTTTACAGCGTTTGCATTTGAGATGGAAAATAATGTGGCTAAATATTAGGATTTTCGCTTATTTGTTTTAGTTATTTCTGTTGCTGATTCTGCAGCCCCAGGAATGTACAGATAGGCTGATGAAGAAGAGTAGGAGAGGGTTCAGTAGTTTGTCCAGATTTCCATAGTCTGGAACAGTTTTAGGTCTGTTTCTGGTGTAGATCCTCTCCCTGGGTCCATTACGTTGTTGCACTCCTCAGTTTGGGCTGGCAGAGCTGGAGCACTGGGTTGGCACATTGATGTCCTTGCTGCTGCTGGAGCTGACAGCAGAGGTTTTGGTGCGGTGTTCTGGAGTAGAAAACATTTATTCTGTGGAATTCTTGGTAGCAACCTGGGTGTCAGTGTTTATACAGAAACTGGGACTGCTGTGCTAGCTTAATCAAAACAGAAATGAATCAGAAATGAAATCTCTTTGGATATGCTTTGCTGGTTTGAGGGTCAAATGATGCCAGAAGAGCTGGAAGTGGGATGGAAAGCATTTCTCCTTTATTGCTATTGGCCCCAAGACAGCAAACCTGACAGCCTCCTGTGTTCTTGTGATAGCTTATCCTGATCAGACACCTACGTGCTTTTTTTGTTCCTTTTGATAACCTGTCAGCAAGGAGAGCAGTGCTGGAGTTCTCTCACATTTTCTCCCCCCACTCTAAAGAAGCCTGACTCCTCTTATCAGTGAATCATTCCTGCCTATGTGTAAGCCCCAGAAGTTGCTTAAGGCTGAGAAACTCTCGCAGGGAGGGCAGTGATTCAGAGAAAGCTGTTTAAGCAAGGAAGCATGCAGCTGTTCCCCTGGGCTGGGATAGGCAAAGCTTGGGTTCCTTTGTCTGCCCAAGCACTGCCTGGCTCTGTCATGGATTGCTGCACTGTGTTTGCAGGGCTCTGCTTAATGGTGCAGAAAACACAACAGTTATTTTAACCTGTGCTGAGCAGCCTAAGAGCAGATTGATTCTGTCTGAAAAGGGTCTCCGTTCTGCATAGAGGTATAAGTGTGTGTCAGTGCCAAGAAAAGCACACCCCGGCATCACTGCAATGTATGCACTGCACTGTGCTGCTGGTCAGAGGTGCTGCCACAGAGTCATCATTTCTGCAGCATTGGGATTGGATGTTTTTCTCAGTTCTTCCATTATCTGATGGATTTGGTTTTCATTAAGTCAAGCAAGAACTGCATGCATTGTGTATGAAATGATTCAGTGAGTACGTGTGTATTATTTGTCAGACTGGTAGAAAGGTCTGTCCTGGGTCTGCCAGCCCTGGAGGCATTATCACAGCATCCCAATGGTGTCACCCTGCATGGCTGCACACAGGTCAGGATGAAACCCTGCCTTTGGGCAGGGCTGGTGGGAGCTGATAAAGGAGCTGTTACTGCACTGTGATGGGCACAACCAAAATCTGCCCCAGCTTTGTTTGGTGTATCAGCACCGTCTGCTCGCTTGTTGTATGTAATTAAAAAGCCCCATCAAACTGAAAACATTCCTGTAATTAAAGTCCCCATCATCACAGTTTGTCCTGCTCACTGCTTCTGTGTTTCATTAAATGTTTTGGTTGGAGTGCTGAGAATGCAGACCTGGGTTTTGCTGGGGATGTGGGGATGTCAGGTGTTCAGATGTATTTTGGTGCTGCGTATCAATGTAGTGCTGCTAAAAGGGACCTGATGCAAAAGCATGTTCTGCTAGCTCAGCCTTGTTCCTTCTGCACAGGTGAATACTGCAGCATCCATGGGCAGTAATTCCCACCCAAAGTCACATTCCAGATCAATGTTTCTTTGTGTTAAATGCTTTCCTTACAGCTCCCACGTCACCTCTGCTGCCCAAGAGTCAGAACAAAAGCCAACTCTTTATTACCAGACTTTAGAAAATGTCTTTTATTTGCATGTCAGAGTCATAGAATGGCCTGGGTTGAAAAGGACCACAATGATCATCTAGTTTGAACCCCCTGCTATGTGCAGGGTCACCAACCAGCAGACCAGGCTGCCCAGAGCCACATCCAGCCTGGCCTTGGATGCCTCCAGGGATGGGGCATCTACAGCCTCCTTGGGCATGTGATTGTCAGTAGTGTTCTTACAGTTTTCACTTGCAGCATCAGATGTGTTGTACTCGGCCTCGTCCAACTGAGCCCAATCTGAAACGAATTGCTTTCTTCATTTTGTTGTGCAGTGTCAAAGAAACACGGCAAGCTCATCACCTTCCTTCGTTCCTTCATGAAGTCCCGCCCAACCAAACAGAAACTGAAACAGAGGGGGATCCTGAAGGAAAGGGTGTTCGGCTGTGACCTGGGAGAGCATCTGCTCAACTCTGGCCAGGATGGTAAGGAGCAGCTCAATGCTGAGTTTTTCCTCTGCTGAGAATGTAAAAGTGAAAGAGGGATCATATCTAGCAAGGGGCAGGTTGGTACCAGTGGAGAAATATGTGATGGGAATTGATGGCTGAAAGATTAAATGAGGCTAATGCTAATTGGAGGCAAACGTGATGGTTCAGCGTGGGAGCACTGGAGATGAGCTCTCCATCTCTTGAAGTCTTTGAATAAATACTGAATATTTTTTTGTCAGGGAAATAAACATTGCTGTGTATGTGAGAGGATTCACTGTTGTGGTGAGAGAAGAGTAGATGGAGAGGGTAAAAGTGAGATGGAAGGGCAACAGCTGAGAGGTCTGATGCTTTGTTAAATGAATACTGAGGCAGCGGGCTCAGATGGTGTAGCTGGAAGTTGCATTGCATGTCTGCACCCAGAGGGAACGTGCAAACAGAGCAGAACGTGCAAACAACCTCCTGCAGAATGTTGTCTTTCTGTGAGCACAGCCAGCAGCACTCTCCTTCTGCACCTCTGTCAAAAGGAGAATACATTGGCATGAGGTGTCCAGGAGGAAAGTGATACAGCAGCGATATTATTGGTGCAACAGGAGTCCAGGTGACAGCATCCTGCAGAGCTCCGTAGGTGTGCTCTGCTTTCAGCTCCCTGATAGGCAAAGCTTTATCTTAGTTCCCCTGAATTTTTGAGTTTGGGCTTCACTGAGGCAGAAAATGCATCTCAGGCTGGCGTGACAGAACTTGTGTCTGCAGAACTGCAGGACATAATGACTCTGCTTACTGGAGTTTCTCCCAGGGAAGGGTGGCTGGGTGTGATAGGATGCAAGCAGGCTGTTGTTGCTATTGCCTTTTCGTTTTTGATGATGCAATTTGTCAATTTTTTAATTGTTGTGTAGGCACCTGAGAAGTAACCCTATAAACAGGCATAGGGAGGGAGGTAAGGATGGTAAAAAATGTTTGCAAGAACAGCAGTAGGGATGAGTACTGCGCCTTAAAATCTCCCTTTATGACTGGTGACTCATGTTGGGGATTGCAGTGATTATGGGCTGGCAACTGTAACATCCTGGTTTAGGGTTCAGGTTTGTGTTGTTTTTTTTGTTATTTTTTTAATTCCAGTTTGTAGTGTGTTTACACTTTGGGCCATTTTGTGTTAGTAGTACACGGGCACATTGTTTGCAGTGAAAGCAGCACAGCCTGCCCTTCTTGTTCCATGTGGAAGTGCTGACTGATGGGATGATGTCTGTAGGAGTAAAGCCAGTTTTGATGTGAGGGATTTTTGACTTTTCTCTTGGGTTTAAATCTAGCCAAGGCCATGGTGGTGCACCCCTCAAGCATGCTGCCTTATGCAGTACACACCCAATGGCCATCTCAGCCTGCCTTGGGAGCACCATCTCCATTTAATTTTAGTGCATTACTCATTTGTTGGCTCTTCTGGGCTTTGAGTGCTTTCCCTGCCGCCACTTGAAAGCAGACCGTGCTCAGCAGGGAGCAGCTCATTCTGCATCATCCTGAGGGACATTCCCAGTTCGATCTGTGCCCCTGGTGCTTTGTTGTACAGAGCTGCAAGGTGCAGCAAATCCAGCGCAGTCCCCAGTGGTGAAGTCTCTGTGCCCTCAGTGAGTAGGCAGCCTTTTTTTTCCCCTGATTTTTTTTCTCTCAAAGGAAACCAAACAGAACTGAAATGTAGCCCGACCCCAATTAGACAGATCTGTGCTGGCGGAGGACGTGTTTGTTTAGCGTGGGAGCTGCTTAAATGCTGCATTGCAGCATCCGTACCGCGTCCTCAGTTGTGCCTCAGAAGGTTGGGGAACGTTGCTGTCCCTGCTCTGCGGCTGCACACGGTGCTGTGGTTGCTGTGGGCTGTGCAGGGGCTGCTGATGGAGCCCTGCAGGCCCTGATAGCAGCTGGTTGGGTGCTGCACTGAGATGCAGCGAGCTCCTGGACCAAAGCTGAGGGATCCCTGTGCAGGGATGTGCAGGGTGTTCAGGTGTGTGGGGGATAACGGGCTGGAATCACTTGGATTACAGAGGCTGAGGTGTAAATCCTGGCAGTTGTTTGTCTGCACTGAAAAGCTCCTGTTGCCCTACACTGGATGGAAATATTGCTTCTCTCTGGGCAGTTGGAGTTGTAGGCTAACCCTGATGTGCCCTGTTACTCATGACAAAATCCATCCAGCAAAGTCAGCTCTAATCACAGTGGATTTTGTAGGCTAAAAGCAAATGATGTGTTTTGTTCCTCCTCTTGTCTGCGTTGCATTGATACATCTTTGTGCATTTGCTGCATTGATAGTTTATCAGCTTCCTTAACTGGACAAGGAGGGTGTAGAAATGGCACAGTGTATGATTTCCAGTTTTCCCATCAGAGGAGCTGTAATCTCCTCTTTGTGCTTTAGATGCAGGAGGAGGTGTTGCTTTTCGTGCTGAAAAAGAAAATGCCAACAGAAGACAAAGCTTATTAACACTCCTGATTCTTGGTCTCTGTTCCTTGCATTATCCCCAGTTCCCCAAATTTATTATCAATTATTTGTGACAAGTTGGGCAGCATTGAAAAAAATTAAAGCTGAGTCCTTTCCAAACTGCCTGCAGGATCAAATTAGAGCATACATGATGCTGTTATGTATTGGGCACTGGCAACAACTGCTTACTAGGGAGGGGGTTGTTCTCTTCTGGTGGCTATTGTGCTCTTCAGATAAGCTTCTTAACCAGCACCCACCTGCATCCTAACTTCCCATTGGTGCCACAGGAAAGATAATGCATACTTACTGCTTTGGTGCAATTCATAATGCCCTCAGGTAGCTGTGGGAAGAGAGGCATAAAAAGAACACTGGGTAAGGGCAGGATTCCTCTCGATGTTACAGCTCACAAAGCAGTGGGTGCACCAGGTGCTTCCCAATGAATCTGCCTTGTAATGCAGATACTGATGAAACTCATCTCCTTTAATAGTATCTGTATGGTACAGTCCTGTTGACAAGGCCAAAAGTGAAGGAGGAGATTCTCTCTGAAATACTTAGTTCAGTTAAAGAGAAGTGGTAACAGGTCTGCCGGGGCCTAAATGAGCTCAGAGGACAGCACTTATAGATGGTGAGGATGTGATTCTCCATCCGTAAACATTTTTCAGTACTTGAAACTTTGAAAGCTTTTTATATGCTCTATGTCACAGAGTCATAATACACTTCTTATCCTCCCCAAGTCATTTATCTTGTTCTTGAGGAGCCAATGGCAAAGGGGAGAATCTGAACATCTGAGCTGTGTGTCAGAGCCCAAACCAGGATCTGATGGACCTCTACCATTTCCTATTTGCTAAATGTTTTGCAGTGAAGAAATACCATCCTGTCTCAGCACTTTCTTGTGCATCTGAGCCCCTGTTGGCCTCAGCTCTGCATGCAGTGTAGACTCAGAAAAAAATGGCTCTGACGATGCATTCTGAGGCAGCACTTATTCCTTAATTGAATTTGCATAATTTCACAGATCTAAACATGTCAAAAAGTGCCACCTGAGCACTTGTGTAAAAGCATGCAGAGCTGCTGTGCTTTGTGTGCCCAGGCATTTCTTCAGAGCTGGCAGCTCTGCGCAGACACCCACAGCAGGACGGACCCTGCAGCAGTGGCTGTCCCAGTGTGCACATGAGTAGAGAATATCCCACTTTCTGCAGATGCACAAACCCCGTTGAGCACCAGTTGATACTTCTAAAGGCCAACAGTTCTGAGCTATTTGGGGCAGTTTTCCAACCATAACAGACGCTGTTATTGCTTCATCATCTGCCCTCTCAATTGCTGGAACTCGAGATCGCTGGGCATGGGGTTAGCATCACAAAGAGGTACGTGGGGTTCCCACAGAGAGTTACTTGTTTTTGGGGAAGTAGTTGCAAAAAGGGTGAACTGAGAAGGCAGTACAAGCTCTGGCAGTTAAGAAAAGAGACAATTTCTCAGTCCCTTCCCTTTCACCATGCCTACAGCTGTGAGGAGAGGCATTCTTTATGCCTGAATGACCCAGGGGACAGCAGGGAGTTGAAAATTAATTTGCATTTTGAGACACTGCAGCTGCAGGGGGAACAAACAGGAGAAAAAAAAATGTTTCCTTCCACGCAGGAATTGCTGCTCTGTTACCCCTCACTCTGCTCCTGCTTTGCCCCCCTTAACTCATTGTGGTGTGATTGGTCTAAATGGTCTGTGTAGGAATGTATCTGTAGTATATTCGTTCCATTTAACGGATGCATGCATGCAAACAACTGCAGAGAGCTAAGTGGATACCACTGGGAGATGGACGTGCCTTACAACAACGCCTATCTTGGATGTAAAAGCAGTAAGCGTGGCAGCTGAAAGCAGGAATTCCCTAGCACAGATAGACCTGTGGTGCTGAGCATGTTGCTGACGTCACAGTGCTCTGTAAACGTGGCTGCCTGCCTGCCAGCTTGATGCAGCATGGTGAGATTTACGTTTCTCAGACCTTGCCCTTTTTTTTTCTGTTACACAGTTCCTGGACAAGCTGCCATAACCAAGCAGTCCCATCTTACACAGCAGAGGGCAGTGCCAGAGGCTGACTCCGCAGTGAGCACTGCGTGGTAACCAATCTGTGTTTTATGGCCCCTCTTCATTATTACAAGGGATGCAGAACATGGGTCACACCTTCAAATAAAAGTGTTGCACGTTGCCAGGAAATAGTACAGCTTGTGCTGCTTTGGACTTTACTCAGCACCTCAGCAGTACAAATCCTTACAGTGTGGGTCGCTTCTGCAAAATCAGGGAGGGAGCATCTCTAAGTCGCTGTTTGTTTGGTTTTGTTCTTCTCTCTTAATCCTGGTGATTCAAACTTAAGGACACAGATGTAGAATGAGCCAAAGGTCCCAGGAAGAAAATATTTCAGAGTTAGCTTTTCTGTAGCTACGTGGGGAGTGTTGCTGTCTGTATGCTTGTAAAAACATGTGCAGGCGATGCCCTGGGTGGAAATACTTGGATATTTCTTTGAAAAGTTGAGCTAAAAATAGGAGAATGTTTGGGATAAGAGCAACGCTATTTATTGAATATATTCATTGGTATGTTTGTTCTTAGACAACCTTGGGTTTGTGCAGTGAGGGAGATGGATGTGTTTGGCTTTACCTTTGAGCTTGGGTGGCACTCAGGGCTGTTCATTTGCTGTGCTTGGTGGGTGACAGGTTTTGCTTTCTGCGTTGGTTTGCTGTGTGTGGAATTCAGCTGAGCGGCTGCATTTCAACAGGCTGTGGGCCATTAAACAGCCAAAGGCCTGGCTTATGTGGCAGCACACCTTATTGCTGTAATAGGGTGGAAATGATGCTGTTAGAGGGAGCTTGATGGGAGGCCTCATTCCCCAGGCTGAACAAATAGTTCTGATTCCAGAAATGCACTGGAAAAATAAAAATCCAGGGAGGGAACATTACAAATGATTAAAAAGGGAAAAACAAAACAAAACAAAAAACAACAAGATAGTAAGAGAGGAAATGTGTCTGATTTCAAGATGAATCAAGTTGCTCTTCGGAATGAAAACCATAGAACTTCTGCCTCCTCTTAATGGGGAAGAATTAACCAGTTGATGAGCCCTAAGAGATGCAATAAACCTTTCATAGCACCGAAGAGATGCTCAGGAACAAGTTGAAGCAATTCTTCCAGCTGCTGCAGGGATGCAGTCTGGCAGGGCTTTGGCTGGGGCAGCCATTCCCATTGATTGGCCACAATGCCAACGTGGTTGGAAAAAGCAATGGGTGAGGGATGGAAGGAAGGAAGGTGGTGGATTTTGGAGCAAGATGTGTGTGCAGTGCTCAGAGCCTCACCAAGGGGAGGTGCTCAGATGCAGCAGCTGGAGGCGGGTTTGGCACACTGCGGTCAGTTGGTGACAGCAGTGCAGGGAGACGGTGTAGCTCAGGGTTAGGAATGAGATCAGAGGTTGGTGCAATGCTGCTCCACAAATGCACGGGGATTTGGATCTGCAAAGGGCTGTGTGTGGGGTCAGTGAGCACGGGCAGCAGTTCTGTGCCCCCACAGCAGGGACTGGTAGGCATAGGTACCTGCAGGAGGCACAGTTGTGGCAGAGCTCACGTTTGCCCAGTGAAGCTGTGGCCTGTGCTGTCTTCCTGATGCTTTGTTCTGGTGGCAACAGATGATTCTTCCCATCCATACACATATGTAAGTGTGGATCTAGCTAAAGGGCTTAGAATTCAAAGGGGAGAGGGCGATTAAACACACTTGTCAGGTGTCATCTTTGTTCAGAAATCAGAAAAATCGAATCACCATTCCAGCAAAGGGCCTTCAACTATAATTAAGGCCCTACTTTGTAATTCAGTCACTTCTTCAACCATGCAAAATTCCCCCCAAAATATCTGTGGTGCTGGCATGATATATTTAGCTTAAAGAACAGATCGTCCTGGCAACCAGATTAGGAAATGCGTGGAAGAAGCCTGCTGGATGTTTTCAGCGTGCATTAATTCTGACTGTGCCCAGCCCTTCTGTGATGAGTGCTGTGTGCTGTTGCTCCTGCAGCCCCCTCCTCCCCTCCGTGCTCCCCTGACCCCATTCACAGTATCACAACGGGTCGCTGCTCAGATGAGCGGGGACATAAATACCACTCTCACCATGCTGTGTGTTTACACAGCTAGATCAAGCCCAGAAGGAGGGGCAGAGAAAGAGGGGGTCTGCGTGGGCTGCCCCTGTGCTGTGTGGTGTCAGCCTCCCTGGTGGGAACCAGCCAGGCAGGGAATGCACCATTTATTTGCTCGCTTATTTCTTTCAGTGGGTGCTGATGGTTTCGTGGGACATCCCACGTTATCTTCCTCTGTCTGTGTGAAACTGAGCACTGATGTCGTGTGTTTTGCAGTCCACGGTGTTCTCCTTCCTCACCCTGTGTCAGCATCAGTCCCTTGTCCACCTCAGGGGAGGGTGCTGTGCTCATCTCCCATCTTTCTGCATCCATTTATACCTGGGCCACACTTGTCTAATGCCGCAGTGCAACGCAAGGCACACTGTTGCCTTTTTTGGCAATTGCTGGAGTATGGTGCAACTCCTACCCTATCCGCTTTACATTTTAGAACTTTCTTCTTCAAGAGGTGTGGGTTTTTTTTTTTATTATTATTTTTTTCATAAAGATTGTGTCCTCTAAAAATGCTTCTTGAAACCCTATTCTGGTGTAGGGCCATCTGTTCTGCCTGCCCTGATCTCAGACATTCAGCTGATGGCACTGAGGACCCATTCCAAAATGAGGAACACACGTTCTGCCTGGCTGGGCCTGCGTGGTTCATTCTGTTGTGTGCCCAAGTGGGGAGCAGACGTGCCCATAACCCAGGGTGCTTCTGCTGACCCCCATAGAACCACTAACAACTCTTCTCTTGCTGTTTGTCTGCATCTCCATTCAGCAACACTTAGGAGAACTGAGTGGCAGATGGCATTTGCTGCTTGATAGAAGGGGATTTGCCCCGTGACCTATTGAGGATCAGACTTAGCATCTCATGTAAGAATAAATCTTGATCATCATAGGACTTATGGCACAAAGGTGTTTTGTGGAGGAATCCACACGAATGTGGGCTTTGCCCTGCAGATTTGTTGTTGTTCACAGGAGCTCAGTCCTAATTTTCTCTATGCTTAGAGAAGTTTTATCTCCCTATGATAGATAACATGATGTGCTCCTCCTCAAATCTACAGATGGACAGATATTCAGGCAGTGGATGCTGCGTGGGGCTGAAGTCAACTGGAAAGAATCAGTTGGTGAAGTGGCTTAGGTATTAACTTGACACCTAATTATATCTTCTGGGCTTATTTTTTCCATTTTGTCATACCACGGTCTGTCTGCTCTTTCTGTGAGTGTGGTTTGTTGTGTACTTTGGGGAGGAAATTACCAGTTGTAAACACTGCACTTTCCCTTGTGCAGAAAGCAGCATCCACTCAACATTTGTATTTGCTGAAACCAAACCGTGTAAATCAATCCATGTTGGTCTGGGAACAAAGGGAGCCTTTTGGCCAAAGAGAGCATATTGGATCAGTTTCATAGCTCTTCTGGACATGAGATTCAACACCACCGTTCTTGTGGGAGCTGTGATGGGACTTGCAGTGTCTCTGGCTTCACCAGAATGACTTTCTCCAGGCTGATTCATAGGTCCTGGCACTTCTTTAAAGCAAAGAACTCACCTCTGTCCAGTTTCCTCACCAGCAGTGACATCTCTGACAGCTTTCTCCTCTAAGGAAGAACCAAGCAATGGAGCCCTGCTGGGCTTAGTGGATGGGATGTGACAAGAGCACAGCCTGAACCACACTTGAATAACAAGCTCAACTAACCGCTGACACTTGTTCTTTAGTCCCCCAGGTCCTCAAGAGCTGCACTGAATTCATTGAGAAGCATGGCATTGTGGATGGGATATACCGCCTGTCCGGCGTCGCGTCCAACATCCAGAAACTGCGGTGAGTGACACAGCTGTCAGTGGGGCTGGGATGGGACACGTGCCACGTTTGGGGTGTTCAGAGGCCTGTGCTGTGGGGCAGCTGCGTGCAGGCAGTGTGTGCTCAGCAGTTCTGTGCAGGGCTTGTTGCTGTTCTGTAGGAACACGGGGTGTTCAGACTTGCTGGTGCAGGAAGTTCTCCTTCAGGACAGAGCATTGGAAGGCTCTGGGACTGCAGTGTCACTGCTGTCAGGTTACATTCCTGTTTCCTTTTGTTCCCGGAGCCCTTTTGAGCAGCTGATGTTTCTCCTTGCTGATTTGGGCTCCTGGCATATTAGCAATTAATTAGTGACATGTGATGGAGCACTTGCATAATCCTTGGTGGGCGGCATTGCTGTGTGGGGGATGGCAAAGTGCATCTCACCCCCACTTGGGAGCTGCTCGTGTCACCATTTATGTCCTTTATCCTTTTGTGAGGCTCTGGATTTTTCCTCCCCTCGCTTGCTGTGCTTTCTTCTGTTGTGAAGGGACTTAGGGAACACTGTGGGATGTGACCAATTCCAGGCCCTCAGAGGCAGCAAAGGGGTATTTTCCCTATGGAGGATATCCTTTTTGTACCAGCTATTTCCAAGTTAAATGGACAGGTTTGAGCCGGCACACTTACTGTACGAGCCCTTGTATGGAGGGGCTTATTCTGGTTCAGCTTAATCCTGTTTTTTCATCACAATTTTGAAAATCTGCTTGTGAGGCTTTGCTATGAGGGCTCCAAGGACCCTGCCTGTAGCTGCTGTGCACAGCAGTCTGCTGAATAAAATGGTTGTCCTTGCCTCAGTTCCAACCCTTTAATTCCTCATTCCAACTTGAGCTGGTCCATCCTTTCTGTCACCACTCTAGCCCATTTTTTTCCCCTTGCTTAGCCGTGACCATTTTCAATTTGGATGTACATTTAAAAATGTTTTTCCAGATACATTAACTGCATAATTCCCTGGTCTAATAAAAGAGAATGAGATGATAGCATCCTTCTCAGTTTTCTGGGACAAAAGGAGTGGAATACATGGCATAACTTGTAGACACCATCCCTGTTGTTCATCTAAATCACTACTGCTTTTTGTAAGCAAAATGTGCCTTGATGAGTCTGATAAGCACAGCAGTGTCAGGTTGGCTTGTTTCCCTCTGCATTCTGGTTTTGGCTTTTTTTGGAGATACTGCAAAGCTCTCCCACTAACAGAATCTTCCTTTGGGGAAGGCTGAATGTAAGGCTTCCATTTCCTCACTCCGTGTTCTGCTTCTGCAGGGGTAGTTCTCTATAACGTGGCATGAGATTTCTTCCTCAGCAAATACTCAGGGGTAGCAGGAGGGCAGGATGAGGCCAGGCATCAGCCAGGGCTCAGTTTATTTGTAGGGGTGGGCTGGTGCCTTCCTTTGCTCTTGGTTTTGAGTTCCTTCTTCTGTGGAGCCAAGAGCAGGAAACAAGTTTGTCTTCCAGATGTGAGTAGGTGATGAGTCAGAACACGCCTGTGGGAGCTGTGTAGACTGAACACAGAGGACTGTGGTTGCAGGGAATCCATCAGCCGGGGAAAACAGAAACCTTTATTTCCTTCTGTGCCTTCTGTGGGATGAGGACCTGGAGCAGACTGTTCTTCTTCTTGTCTGAAGAAGCAGACCTCTCTTCTCCCCTTGTCTGCCCCTTCATGTCCAGGTGCAGGGAGCATCTCCTTCCCCATCCTGTAGGGGATGCACACCTGACACTGCAATTACAAGTACTCCTGGTGCCTTGGGCATGCTAGAGACTGGATCTTCCCTGCAGCACAGAGGCGGTGTCTGAGGCTAAGGCAGGTTGTACCTTCTGTGCTGCACACTGCTTGGTTTGGGACAGGGAAGCCAAGATGAGGGTCACCGAGCTCCTGGCTTTGCTGCAGTTGGAATGTAGACAAGCTGATTCCCCATGTCAATGTTAAGCACTTTGGTTTACAGCTTAAAGAGGATTGCAGGGAAACCAAGCCCTGGCTGCAGCAGTCCTGTTCTCACAGCTCACTGTGCCTGACTCACCCTGCTGGCCCCTGCAGAGCCAGCCTGCTAATTCAAAGCTGCAACCTCCATGCACGTACCCTAACAGCAAGCCAGCTCCTGGCCTTCAAAGCCCAGCTTTTCTTTCATAGATGTTTGTGATTTTGTTTTTTTCTCTCTCTGAAAACTAAGGGAATGCACAGGGATCGTCTTCGTGTGGTTCCAGGCACTCTTCTCCCCATAGCAGAGGCATGCTCAGCTCACCAGTGGATCCAAGGAATTTCTGCATGCTAAAGTTTCACTGGACAGCAGCTGCCAGCAGCGCTGCTGCTCAGCATTGCTTTCTCATTTCATTTTCCAGGCCTTTGAAATGCAAAGGGAAGCAATTTTTGTTCTGACCTGCAGGGACTTTTCCTCCAGGCAGCTCTGTGCTCCTGGAAAACATGCTCTGGGGGCTCTGCAAGTTGTTGTAGACCAGGCAGTCAGTTGTAAAGCTAACTGAGAATGCCTTACCATAAAGAAAAGGTCTATTTTGGAAACATCCAGTCTAGCATGGCTCGTGTGGTGTTGGTGACTAAGTATTTATTTCTTCCTGTACATCAGGAACCTCTTGCTTTTCTTGGCTGTAATTTTTATTGTTTTGTTGTTTCTTTTTTTTAATTCCTCTTTTTTGTGCCCATTTTTGTATCCTCTGCAGCCATGAGTTTGACTCCGAGCAGATTCCTGACCTAACCAAGGACAATTATATCCATGACATTCACAGCGTGAGCTCCCTCTGCAAAATGTACTTCAGGGAGCTCCCGAACCCTCTGCTGACCTACCAACTCTACGAGAAGTTCTCAGTAAGTACGAGGCAATGTCTTTCATTTAGCTCTCCCAGGGCCTCTTGGTGTGACCTGTCGCATACACACATATCTGCTCACCTTTTTTTTGTCTAAATTCGGTTTAAGTTTGGGTTATTATAGAGATCTAGAGGATGTAATGTAAAGATCTAGAGGATGTAAAACAAGCAGCTCATGCTTCCCACGCACCAGGTGCCCACCTGCTGTTAGCATCCTGCCACTAAAACAGTGGGAAATGGGCACAGTGGTGCCGAGGCCTGAGACCCTTATTCTGTTGCCCCATGAGGTTTACTCACATGTCACTGCCATGTCCTGCATCACACTGATGCCACGTTTGGAGAATTCCTGCTTTTTTTTTTTTCTATGCCCCAACTATTGATAGAACAGGAATGGTACTTGGAGGAGGATGCCCACTGCAGGGAGCTGAGCTGCACAATCAGGCTGTAAACCAGCCCAGTGCTTGGGTTCCTCATCCTTTTATCACATCAGCTGCATACACCTCTATCTTCCCAAGATGCCTCTTGGAAGGCAGAGGGGCTCAAAAAATCTGCCTTGATGCTAACGAGCAGCACATTGTCCCCATATTTCCAGATCCTGCAGCAGCTATTTGTGTCTGAATCCCTTTCTGTGTTATTCCAGGATGCTGTTTCTGCTGCTACAGACGAGGAGCGGTTGGTGAGAATCCACGATGTCATCCAGCAGCTGCCCCCACCTCACTACAGGTCAGTGCTGCCCTCGCTCTGCACTGCTGCATTTCAGAGCAGCAAATGATGCCGTTCCAGGTTTTGTCTCATGCTGGCTGTGTTATGCCTGTGTACCTTAAAAGGGGTCATGGAGATGGTTTGTAGTTTACTTAGATCATTACCAATCCACCATTATATACTTTGTAAAGTCTTTTTTTACTTCCTCTGGAAGTCCATGCAGGAGGGACATCCATGCTGAGGAGGTCAGAAGTGGCTGATGCCATTGAGGAGGGCCCATTTTTGGGTCAGTCCCTCGCCATGGGGATGCAGCTGGTGGCTGCAGGGCTGCTGCAGTCTGGCACTTAGTATCTGCTTAATATTTAATGCCAGTAGCAATAATGATAATTAACAAATGCTAACACTGACTTAATAACTATTGATAGTGTTTATTGTTTAAATGGCAACGAGCTTATTAGACTAGCATGCAGTAATTAGTATTGATAATATCAATATGTGCTAATTGATATTTGTGACTATTTGTGGTGTGTGATAATTTAGCTCTTACCATTGCAATGTGTACTAATAGGCAATTAGTCAGTATTAATAACTTCTGCACTGTACAAGAACTGTCCTCGTACTACAAAGTATGGTGATTGGTATTAATAATAATTTGTCTTGACCATTTTTAATATATTGATTGGTATAAATAATATATGTTAATCTCAAAATATGATTAACTAACTAAATCTAATATATGACTAACTAGTGATAATATTTAGTGTTAACTAAATGTAATGTATGGTGATTGGTATTAATAATTTACAGTAAGACATAATTAACCTATCATAATTAATCTATCATAATGCATGGTCATCAATGTGACCAATCATAATGTGATTATATACATTAGAAATTATGCTTGCAGGTATTCAAATATTGATGAGTAGTGTATGGTAATTAGCTTGACTTATTACAGTGTATGTTATTTGCTAATTAAACGTCATTGAATGATTTATGTGCTGTATGGGATTTAATACCAACTAAATGTGAGCTGTGGTGATGAAGGAGCATGCAGGCAGGTGCTGAGCTGTGCTGTTTGCACTATGTGAGATGCAGTGAGATGGGGCTGTGTGTGCTGGAAGGGATGGAGCCCTTCTCCCTCTGCCCAGATTTGCAGTAGCAGTGGTGGGTAATGTAAAAAGCAGCTTTATTTTATTGGTGAAGTTTAACCTGGAATCTGCTGGGCCTCTCTCCTACATCTGTAAGAAAGCTGGAGGCACTCACTGCTTAAGTTGTATTCAGATACACTTTGCTGGCATCTTGGGCTGTTTGAAGCTCAGGCTCCCCTTACCAGGTTAATATTCAGTGTTCTTTCCTGTAGCTCCTGTGGCTCTGGGCAGCCTGATCTGGAGGTTGGTGACCCTGCACACATGGCAGGGGGGTTGAAACTAGATGATCATTGTGGTCCTTTTCAACCCAGGCCATTCTATGATTCTCTGAACTCTCAATGAACATTGCAGAATGATCAAAATGCTTCTTAAGTTGCATTTTAGTGTCATGGGGTGGTGATAATGCAGCAACATGATGAAGTTCCAGGGTGCTCTGCTGGTGGCATTTGACTGATCCCCATCCACCTCCTTGTCTGCTGGATCCAGTCCTGTGGCAGAAAGCAGCTTTTTCCTTTGCCCTGGATGACTCAGAAGAGACCCCCCCCCCCATGTAGCTGTTATGATAAGGACAACTTCACCATTCTTCTGAGGGTGCACAGTGCAACTTTTGTTTTGATTGGTTACAGTAGGAAAAAAAGAAAAGAAAATGCAAACAATGAACTGAGGTTCGTTTTGTCAATTGCAGCATGGCACGCTCATTGATGCTGAATATTTGTGCCTCTCTTGTTTTCCAGGACACTGGAATACCTAATGAGACACTTAGCTCGTTTAGCTGATTACTGCACCATCACAAATATGCACGCGAAGAACTTAGCGATTGTTTGGGCTCCAAACCTTTTAAGGTAAACTTGTTTTTTCCCATTTTGAGACTTATATCTGTTCTCCAGTAAAAGGAAACCACAACAATCTGACCCTTTTCTCCATCAAACGTGCTTTTCTCTTGTCACATTTCTAATAAGTTATACTCAGAGCAGGGGAAGAGCCTGGACTGTTCTCCCCCTGCCCCACCAGCACAATTTCCAGATGATAATTTCCACTGTATGAAACTGGTGTGTCCTTGATCATCCAGGAAAACGTGTCCAGTGGCATCACTGATTTCCCACTGCAGAAATCTCCAGGCTTTCATCTGACAGCTTTTGGCTGCAAAAATTCAGACTTCGGAGTCATTTCTCCAAGATCATTTCCCTACAGTTTGTTTTCAATGTGCCTGACGGGGTGTTCTAAAATTAATGGTGTAATTTTAAAATTTGTGCTTTAAAAGAAAGAAAGAAAATCACCCCTGGCCTCTATTGCATTGATTTCTGCACTGCTTTGTTACCAGCCTGAGAAGTCTGAGTCATAGCTCCCCCTGTGAGCAGTTAATGAGGGAGAGCTATTTTCTCCTCTCTGGCAATTCACTCACAAGCACTCCTTTTAAAAGATCTCATTTGAGTTTGCTGTTATGAATACTGGGATTCTTGCTGAGCAGGACCAGCTGGAGACATTCCCTGCTGGAGGGAAAGCCATATAGAAGCCCATGCTGGGCTTTGTGCAGTGCCACTGCATTAAACTGCTGCCACTCATTGTTTCTGGAAGGAAGTTAAGGGTGAGCTCCTGCTTTATGTATGCAATACATTTACCTCCATCTGGACCTCCCACACTCTTCTTTTCCTTTTTGACCCAGTGTTTCTTTTGCCTGTCTTAGCCTAAACCCAAAATCTGGGTATGTCTTAGTTTCAGCTGGGATGGAATTGGCTTTTTTTGTGCAGTGCCATGTTATGGTTCTAAGAGAAAACCAGTTCTGATAGCTGATGTTCATAGTTACTGCTAAGCAGTGCTGTGCAGAGCCAAGGCCGTTCACAGCAGAGAGCCCAGGGAGTGGGGGGGAGCAGGATGAGGACAGCTGAGTGAAACTGATAAAGGAATATTCCATCCCACATGGCAAGGAGGTTTTGAAGGGGGTGGGAGTTCATTCCTCCCACTGCTCAGAGGCTGGCTGGGCATTGCTGGGGGTGGTGAGCAGTACATAGTTGTAACTATTATCCTTTTCCTTTTCTCTATCTTAATAAATAGTTTTATCTCAATCACCAGTTCGACTTTGTTTTTCCCCTGATTCTCTCTCCTGTCCCATTGGGAAGGCAGGAAGTGAGCAAACAACTGCATGGTGCTGAGCCACCTGCCAGGTTAACCACAGCAGGGTATAAATCACTGCAGTCAGTCTGATGGCTGTATAATGCTTTGATGAGATTTCATCTCTTGTCTGTCCCTAATGTCTTGTCTGCCCGTGCAGCGAGGCATAACAGTTAACATGAGCCAAAGCCTTACCCAAGGGGCGCACACCTTCCCACTCTTCTGGCTGGATGCAGTGGTACTTAATCTCCCTTTTCTTCAGATCAAAGCAGATTGAGTCTGCCTGCTTCAGTGGAACAGCTGCCTTCATGGAGGTGCGGATCCAGTCAGTCGTTGTGGAATTCATCTTGAACCACACAGACGTCCTCTTCAGCTCCAAATTCAGCTCAGTCATACGAGATGGAGCAGGTGAGGATCTTCCTCCATTAGCTTTACCTTGATCAAAAACAGTAGCAGACACTTAATGGAAATCCTCCACAATATCTGAACTATGCTTTTACTATCAAGGAGACAACAGATTTCCAAGGTTGTATAAGAATATGGCAAACATGGCCACCATCATCTTTCTGAAATAGCCCAGGATGCTGTACAACAACATACATGGGAATGTTTGGCTGCTGCTGTTAGGTCCTAGCACTGAAAAGCCATACAGAATAACTTAAGTCTGTTCCCATTGCCTCTCTTTTTAAAAACCACTACTCATGTTAGATGAGTAAACGTGAAGAGCACAAGCTGTTACTGTTCCACAGTTTGTTGCATCTGCTTTGATAAGCTGACCTTTCAATTGAAGTTTGCACAGCCAATGCAGTTATTAACACCTGTGGAGTTTACAGAGCTGCTTTCCTAGAATATTTGTTGCTTCCCATTTTTATACAAGCATTACTCTACTTTGGACAGCACAGTTGCTGCAAGTCCAGCTTTTGTTCCTGCTGGAAGGCAGTTTTTGTGTCAGGACCAGAGGTTAGCTTGGCTGGGAAAGGACAGCCCACAGCAGGTGGAGCTCTGCCAGGGGAAGATCAACATGCAAAGAACCTGAGCCAAATGATCATCCAGGCTTTAGAGTGGAGCGTTTAAATTTGGCTAATTGTTTAATGACTCAGGCTCACACTGTCTGCTTTACCACAAAACTGGGGGGCAGAAGGGTCAGGGTGTCTTGCACTGTATCAGCTAAGCTCAGGAATACTGAGCTCTGGCAAAGCAGTCCTTCTCAGCACAGCATCCCAACCTGTACCAAGCTGATAGAAGCAAAAGCATTCCCCATCCTGCTTTAAGCCATCCCAAGTTAGTCTAGTTGCAAGACAGCTGGATGTCTGAATACCTGCTTGGTCCAAACTTCACCCTGAGTACACAGGTACAGCTAACAGACACATGAGGCTGTGCACGTGTTACCCAGGAGCTGTGATGTTAAAGGAATAAATAATAGGAATGGATCCAACCAGGATGGTGATAGAAGGGGATGACAGACTTCCTTCCCACACCTCTTACTCACATGAGCATAACCACATAAATGCTTGCTCTGTAAGCAATGGCAAACAAGGACAGCTCTTAGAGCAGACTCCTCGTGCTCCCTGCAGCACTGCTCTGCACTCTAAGGCTGAACAACAGATCGTAGCAGCTGGCATTTATCTCCAAAAACAAGCACAGACAGCAAGCAGGAGAAAGACAAGAGAAAGACACAGCTAGATGCAGTTCTCTGTATCCACCTGCACACTGGTTTGTAGCAGCTTCAGTGTGTGCAGCATTTCCTGTTGCTATATCCTGAAAATGCTTAAACCTGAACTTTATAAGAACAAAACTCAATGTCATTATGATGTTTTGCATGGAGATGAAGCTTGATTAAAGTATGGCAGTGAAGATTTCTACCTATTTGACCCAGTTTTCCAGGTTTTTTTTTTTGTGTGTGTGTGTTTAATACAGTAAGCTGCTCTCAATTATGAGTTTGTCCTTCATCATAAACACCCCTGACAAAATGGTTGTTTTGACGTCATCCTCCAGTGGTTAGGATAGCCAAGTCTTAGTAGAATATATCACCTCCCCCTGAAGTGTGATGGCTGTGCTGCTGCTTTCTGATCTTCCCTCTTATCTGTGGCTTTCCCTTACAGGACACAGTTCTTTATCACGACCCAAGTCTCTGTTGGTGTCTTCTCCCTCCACAAAGCTGCTCACGCTGGAGGAGGCACAGGCACGGACACAAGGCCAGATCAACTCCCCCATGGTGACAGACAATAGATACATTGAAGTGGGAGAAGGACCTGCAGCTTTACAAGGGAAATTCCACACGGTCATTGACTTTCCATCAGAAAGGTAGAGAGGAGTTTCATTTCCAGCACATTGGTTTGAATGTGTTTGTTTTGTTTTGTTTTTTGTATTATTACTACTGCAAAAACTTACTGAAACTAACTTACACTAATCATGCATAAAGCATTGTAGGCAATTTCCACCCACTTTGGGCTCTGAGGATTCAATGAACTAACACACATTTGCCCAGTAGGCTCAGTTTAGCCACACAACAGTGCCATTCCTTCCTTTTTGAGCAGGCAGTCATGAGAAGTATGAAGCCATCAGATGTCTATCCTTGCCTGTGCTAGTTGTACATGGAAACACTGGGGTTTTCCAGATCTCAGGACCCCATGCCTGAAACAAACTCTGGTTGTCTAAGCAGACCCATTGGACAGAATTGCTGGCACTGGAAATCAAACAGGGCAGTGGGAGGAGGCTGATGATTTGTTATCACAGCAGAAGAGGTGCTTCTGAATGCCCTGTAAGGCTGCATGGTTCCTCAGAAAGCAGTTATAGAATAAAAGCTGTTCCTTGCATGCTGTACTGTAGAGCTGTGGAGCCTTTGCTCACCTGCACTGCATCTTGCTTTGCATAGATTGGAGGAATTCATGGCAGCTTCAGGGCTGAGCTGTAAGAATAGAAACATCTTTGAAAGAGACCGAGTTTCTGAGGTCTGTTTCAGCAGAGGCTGGGCAATGCTAGGAACAAGCCAATGGTCTCAAGAGCTCAGCACAGCTCTTCCCTCACCCTGCACCACAACTCACCCCATTCACTCTGTTTTCTCACTCCAGAAAAAGACCGCCCAGTAAGATGAAGAAATCGCCTGTTGGCAGCTGGCGTTCCTTCTTCAACCTGGGAAAGTCATCCTCTGTGTCCAAACGCAAACTGCAGCGCAACCCCAGCGAGCCCTCGGAGATGAAAGTCATAGCCCTGGCAGGTAAGGCTGCAAAGCCAGCTTTCAAAAAAACAGCAGTGTAGGATTCATGCTTTCAGTGTGCTTGGATCTCCTTCTAGCGTTCAAGCCCGTGCATAGCATCTTTAGTTAACCCATCTTTTCTGAATGTGTTCACTCAGGATCCGGACCCTTTAGAGCACAGCCCTTCTGCCTTTCCTCCGAGTAGCTTTGGAAGGGCAATAAATGAGCACCACCACAAAGCTCTCAATGTTTTCTTCCGACACTTGCTACTGAAGTAGGAATACACTTCTGGCACCGTTTTGCTTTTGTCAGAAGACACACATCTAAACTACGTAAAGGCACTTTTCCACAAACATTCCCATAGAAAGAAGGCATCCAGCATCTTTCTGTAGCTACGTAGACTCTGACTTCTCAGCCCTTTCCATATATAAGTTACTGTCTCTTTCCAAGTTTAAAAACAGCAACTGTGCATTTTTGCAGAAGAACATACCACAAATCCTGAAGTGTGGCCAGCAGGGAGTTGTGTCCCATCCTCACCCTGATGCCCTTTTAAATTATAACCTCTAATTTTCAGCAGAACAAACACATTCCATGGCTGTACGTGAAGACAGTCTCCCTTGAGCATTTTAGTTGTGCTTGTTTAGTGCTCATAAAACCAGCTGTGCAAATGCTGCTTGCTTCCCCCCTGTGAGAGTTACCCAGTTACCACGGGCACATCCAGAAGGACCTGCCTGGCACAGTGGGCATGCGGAGCAGCTGTCTTCCAACCCATCATCTGCAGCAGTCAGTTGGCATTTTGGTATCAAAAATTGATACTCTCTTGTAATCACTTCTCGTAATCACAGGTTGGAAGGGACCTCTGCCAGCCATCCAGGCCAACCTCCCCCACAAAAACATTGCATTCATCTTAGACTAAGTCACATTAACACCATGTTATGATTTTCTTCAAGGGCTTTGGAGTGCAAACCAAACAGCAAACAATGAAAACACAACTATTACTTTCAAGACAGTGGTACCGTTGCTAGAAGCCTTCCTGCCACCACTCCATAACCAAATGTCAACCACTTCCATAATTCAGCTTGTCACTGTCTGGTTTTATTTCCCCAGGGGGACGAGGAGACAGCGGGACTCTTCGCTCAGCTAAAAGCGAAGAATCACTTACCTCTCTGCACGCCGTTGATGGTAAGGCAAAATGTGGGTTTAAAAAAAAAGGTAACATCAGAGATTGCAGATAAGGAGCAGGGCAGATGCCTGCCATCCCTCAGTAAAAGCTGGACTTGTTAATGAAGCAGCTTATCCAGCCCTGTTGGGCAGTGGTATCAGAGCAGTGCTTTTCAGATCTTTGTTTTTCATCTGAGGGTTTTGTACACCTTTCATTCCTTGCCCTCTCCCCCTTTCTCTTCTAAATTGAAGAAGATAGCATTGGAAGGAAAATGTTTCCTGAGAGAGGCAGAACCGCAGCAAACTTCAACCCATTTCACTTATGCAAACAGCTCAGTTCCAGACTGAGACGGAGCTGGTAACTGCTTTGAAAAGAGTTTGAGCAAACTTAATTAACAGCTATTGATAACTACACTGTTTTTCTGTTTAGAGCTCGCCAGGTGAGCATCTTGCATGCTATTGAGAAGCACCAAGCCATTGCCTCCTCAGACAGTGAAAGTTTGACACTTAACCCCTATGTATCTATTCATTCCTAGGTGAATCTAACCGGTTTCGACCCAGAAGACCCAGATCCAGTAGTGATGCACTGTCTGCTTCCTTCAATGGAGAGCTCTTAGGAAGCATGAATCGCTGCAATTCTTATGACAACCTTCCACATGACAACAGTGATGGGGATAAGGAGCTCATCCACGTTCCTGCCCTCATTTCTCCTCGCTCTGCCGAAGATGTTGACCTGAGCCCACCAGATATTGGCGTTGCTAGCCTGGATTTTGACCCAATGTCTTTTCAGTGCAGCCCACCCCAAACGGAGTCTGATTGCCCAGACAGCAGCACCTCCATGCTGGAGTCCATCGGCATCAGTAAGGAGAAGCCGAGCCTCTTGAAGAAGGACTTAGAATCAGGCAGCCAGTCCCAGACACCGGGCAGCGCCACGAGCTCTGAGCCAGTCTCTCCATTCCAAGAGAAGATGAGTCCCTTCTTTACTCTGGACCTGAGCCCGACCGAAGAGAAGACCTTCAAACCCAGCGACACCTCGCCCCAGATGGGGAAAAAGCCCATCAAATCTCCACCGCTGACCACATCAGAACCTGTCTCCTTTGCACTGCCCAGCTGCACGTCAGAATCAATTGGGGGGATGCTCATCACAACCAGAAACTCTTCCACTTCCAACTGGAGCGAAGAGATTGGTATCGCTGAAATCACAAACAGGTTCCCAACCCAGATGTCTTTACCTCTGAAAGAAACTGAAAGAGCAGCAGAGGAGGAAGCCCATCAAGAGCTAAAGCATGCCCAGATAGTGGCTGCTGGCAAACCAGAGTTGCCAGACGAAGGGGAGAGACCAATGTCAAGCAGTCAGAATAAGACTGTACCCAGTGGACACGCACAGCCAGGTACAGTGCATTTTCCTCCATTCTTTCTTTAAGTTCCAAAGGGGACCTGCTCTCAAAAAAGTCCATCTCTGCGTGCCTTTTAGGAGAGGGGATTGCCCATCAGTTCTGATCACAAGTGTTCTTGCAGGGCTGTGCAAATCGGTACGGTCTTAACCTCTGTCTTCTTCCTACACCACACAGATCTCGGATACCTGTCCATAATACTTTCTATTCTGCTTTCTTTTCCCATCATGTTGTACACGAAAATCTATAGCATGTTCTTCTAAAACATTTCAGCTGATAGTTCATCTAAGACTTCTCTTTTTTTAAGTTAAAGATCTGCCAACACTTGAAGAAGGGATCCTTTTTGCCCAAAAACTTATGATCAAAATTGTGTAAGGGTGTCTCATTCTCTGCTACCTACTTCCTACCTCTCTAGAAATACAAGAGGAGCCTTTAGACAATCTCTTGTGTTTTTCCCTCTTTGCGATGAACTGCTGTGCTATTGAGCAGCATTTGTATGTAAGACAGAAGATACAGTGTTTCGCATCAGAAGGAATTACTACTGTGAAAATGTGGAAAGCATCTATTTTTCTTGGGGTAGTCATTAAGGTTAGGTCACTCTCCTTACTGGGTAACATAAAATCACTCTCTCTTTCGATTTTCCCCCTATTAGGAGCAGTTGCCCTCGACTCCCCCCAGGATCCTGTTCCTGTCAGTTCTGTGTCTCTTATCCCTCCTCCTCCTCCGAAAAACGCAGCGCGCATGCTAGCCCTAGCGTTAGCTGAGTCTGCACAGCAAGCATCTGCTCAGTCTCAGAAAAAGCCAGGAGATGCCCACTCTGAAAGCACCACTTATGGAGAAACTGAAGCTGCTACAGCTCTGGAAAAGCTCCATCTCTCTGCTGGAGCTCCAGACAAGCTTCACCTGTATACTGATCTGCCTGAGAACCAGCTTCACTTCCAGACTAGTGCACCAGTTGAGCAGGATTTTCAAGCTAGCAGCACAGCTCAGGAGCAGAACCACCCTCCAGGTGCACCTGGAAGTCAGGACCCCCAGCCTCTTCACACCAGCGTGCCTGGGGATGTGCCTGCTAGAAGAGATGCAGAGCAAGAGCAGCCCAGCTACCTTGCTGGTCAAATGGAGAACAAAGAGCAGTTCCCAGCCCCTGCTGAGGACTGGGAGCAGACACGGCAGCACGCTCCAGGGGCACTGCCCGACTGGGAGCCACCTACAACCGACTTACCTATGGATAAGCCCCACGTTCATGCATGCACGTCTGGGGACAAGCAGCTCACTTCCACCTGTTCAGCTGATGACAAACTTGAGACTCCTGTAACTGTTGGGGAGAAAAGCACCCCAGTCCCAGTGCCGTACCTGACAACCATCCAGACAGCAGCAGCTGAGCCTAACCGTGCACCAACATGTCAGCATGCAGCTGGTCCAGCCCTAATTCAGGCAGATGGCACTGGCACTGCTGCACAGCGCACACCCACAGGCAGCCAGCCCACCCCACCACAGAGGCAGGATCACCAGTCTGCAGTGGGACAAGTGCCAGCGGCCTCTGCAAAAGCATCCAGCAATTCCAGTCAGGTATGTGGATGTGCCCCTTGCTCGGCCTTGTGCCTGTTTGCCAGTGCAACACCTGTGCACAGCTCCTATGTAATTATAGGAGACTGAAGTCAGGGAGGGTTGCACTCAGTCAGTCTCGCTCCTGGAAGAGGCAGGAGGCTCCTTGCAAGTTACTGGGAATTGTGAGTGTATGGCAGAGGCACAGCCTGACACGAATGCAGCACAAAATTGCCTAGGTGAACATAAAATAATGTCCCAAATATAGTTGCTCTCAGAAGTTTTGAGGGGATGGAGGGGAAGGGGGAAGTATTTGCTGGGGTTACTGATTCAGCAGATGGCATTTCTGAAGTGCTCAAAACCAAATAACTGACAGATATTCCCAGTGAGGGAATTGCCTCTAACTTCTGATCTCTTCCCAACAGGTTTGGGGTGCAGCTGCACCTGAAAAACCACCCGAGCCTACTCCTGGTTTTGCCACAGAAAGCACTTCCAGCAGCCACCGCTCCTCCTCTGTGCCCAGCAGCCACCAGAGCCGTTTGGAAAAGCCACGGGAGGGTACGAGGGCTCCCCTGCTGCACCTGCGCTCCGAGTCAGTCCCTACTCACTCCTCCTATGGCTTCACTCCACCTGTCCCACCCGTGAGAACCCTGGAGAGCAAAATAGCTGCCGCCATGCACTCCAACAACACTGACGCGATCAACAACTCCAACTACCACGCCTTCCTGGCTTCCTCCATGCTGGCCTCCTCCGTAGAGGAAGTCCTGCTGCCTCCTCCAGCACCGCCACCACCACCGCTGCCGCCACCACCCCTCGCTCCACCGCCGCCCCCCAAGCACGCCTCCCTGCAGTCCATGTATGTGCCGCACCCCAAACCCGAGAGCATCCTGGAGCCCTCTGGGCCAGACGTCTACCTGCACCACAAGCCGACCTCCATCCACCAGTACCGACCTGAGAGCGTCCCTCCTCACGTGAGCTATCACAGCAAGCCGGATCAGCACCCAGCCTACCCTCCTCGATCGGAGACGCCCACTTCTGTGAGTGCTCGCTACAACACCTACACAAACCAAGGGAGGAGCAGCTCTGTTGTCTACTCCAAACCTCGCAGTCGGATGGAGTTCACATCCTCCGTGAGCCCCACAGGTCTGCGGAACGCCACCTATGCTGAGGACCCTCCACCCTACCCCACCATCCGCAGGGTTCAGTCGCTGCACGTTCCCACTCCGGCCGCCTCTGCCATCCGCTCCGTCCCCATTTCGCGCACTGAGGTGCCTCCAGACGATGAGCCACTGTTCTGCCCGCGGCCCCTCTACCAGTACAAGCCATATCAGCCTCACTCCGACTACCACGTCACTCAGCTGCAGCCTTACTTTGAGAACGGGAGGGTGCATTACCGCTACAGCCCTTATTCCAGCTCCTCTGGATCTTCCTATTACACCTCTGCCGATGGGAACTTCTATGACCTGGACCCCTACAGCACCATGCGGGTCAGGCCTTTCCACCCGCTGCACAGCCGCGACTTCGCGTCCTACGAGGCACGGCTTCACAGCAAGGGCTTGCACCGCTACCCCGGCCTGTCTGCTTACCCACGGGGCGGCCTCATCGGCCACCTGGCAGGCAAGGAGCACAGCTTCATCAGCAGGGACGTGCCTCCTGCCCCGGACATCAAGCACATGTACATGTCGTGGGACCTGGAGGACATGGAGAAGTACCGCATGCAGTCTATTCGCCGCGAGAGCCGCACACGGCAGAAAGTGAAAGGGCCGCTGATGTCGCAGTATGACAACGTGACCCCGCTGCTGCCAGAGGACCCGGGAGGGCCGGATATCATTCACTTGCGCAGCAAGTCAGACCCTGGGAAGAGTGGGCTACTCACTGTGGCGGAAGGGAAGGAGGGGAAGTACCCGGCCAAGGCAGCTACACCCGACGGGGAGGAACGTTACTACATGCAGCACCCTGAGCCAGAGCTGGACAGAGCCCACTACCACGGCGCCTATGGGAACGGGCAGCCGGAGAAGCCGTCCCTTCCCCAGAAGCAGAGCAGCATCCGCAGCAGGAAGCTGCACGAGCCGACCTGCGGCGCCAGCGACCACCGGCCACACCTGCAGCAGGAACCGAGCCACAGGCAGCCTTCTGAACCCAAAAACGGACCTCCTTATCCTGATTACAGGCCCAAAGTCGCTGAGCCCGCTGAGCCAATGGGCTACCAGCACTTGGGCAGGAAGTACATCCTGGCAAACCAGGACACCATGAGACTAAACCACAAGGAAGTGAGGCTGGCGGAGGACAGACCAGATTTGGAAAGGTCCCGAGCCAGGCCCAGCACGTCCATTGAGAAACACCCCAGAGATGGCTACAAGGAAGAGGAGCACGCAGCCTCCCCCATGGCACCGCCGCCTTCACCTGAACGGAGCCACAGCCTCAGGGTGCAGCACCGCGAGTCCGTGGAGAAGGACTCTGCCCTCTTCTACCCGTACCAAACCCTTGGGAAACGCCAAAGCACTATGACTGTGATGTCCCAGTATGATAACGTGGAAGATTACCATACCATGCCTCAGCACCAAAGAGGGGGCTATGCTGGAGAAGGGGGGTGTGTGCCCCCCGCTTTTACCCATGTGCACAGTAGAATTTACGCCACGGCCCTCGGCCAGGGGGCCTTCCTTCCCACAGAGCTGTGTTTGCAAAGGCCTGAAACAGAGGTCCATGTTGAGTGAGCACACGGAGGTAAAAGAAATAATGGAAATAATTGAAATAATAGAGTTTTAAACAGCCTCTGCTGGACAGTGGACTGTTTTATTTTTTCAGCGATGGAAAAAAAAATAAATAAAATAAATTCCTGCCCCAATGAGCAAAGCAAACCCACCTTCAGCCCCATCCCTCCCAGCCCACCACTCACTGTTTTTATGTAGTAGAGATATAGCTTTTTCATGTCATTTGAGACAACTGGAACGACAGGGCAGGCTGTTGGCGCACAGATATTGCCAGAGAGGACAGGCAGAGCTGAAAGAGATGCTGCTGGGGTAGGGGAAAGGAAGTTTTTTCTTTCCTGGATTTAACATTGGCCGTTATTACCACTTCCTCACCCTGCCTCCATTATCCCATGCATGACAGACTGTGCATGCTGCTGTTTTTGTGAGCCCCATGTGTTGCCTTTCCCACTGTTAGCTCCCAAGAAAGATTCTCCATGACGTGCAGGAACTGCTTCCCCTCCCTCTGAGGTTATGCAGGAAGAGCAGGTGGAAAGCTGCTGGAGCAGGGGGAGACCTCCTGAACACTTTCATCTTGATCAATGCCAAGGTCAAGCCTCTCCTTGAAAGATTATCGCTTAGGCATAGCGGGTCTACTTCAACTGCTTTGCAGTGGATGTGAGCCTATTTTGACCTCAGCCTAGTGAATAGGCTCTGAAGCAAATCCAAAATACAGCACACTTTCTAAATTGCTTGCTTAACAAGTTGCTTCTGCCTACGTGAAATCAAATTACTTTAAAGGTTCTCTAGCATAAGCAGAGATCTGCTGTAGAAGCTGAGTAGATCACAGGTCTACATTTCTCATACCAAAAGCCAACACAAGAAAACAACAGACACTTGGGAGCAGCACATCCATTTCATGCCAACCCTTTATGCTGCTGGGCTAGCTATGGTGCAGACAATTTAATCCATGTTGTGGCTAGCCAGTATCCCCTATCTACAGAAAGAGTAAGATCTCCATAGTGTTATGCCCAGCTTGTAAATTGGAGCACAGTTACTAGCTGGGAATGAGTGTGCAAGTGCTGAGTTACCTGCACAGCCAGCTCTTTGCCCCGGGCCAGATCCTGCAGCTCTTAGATCAGGGAAGTGCTCCTATTGACCTTAAGCTGAAGGCTGCAGGACACAGCTTTCTGTAAGCTTTCAGCTCTGTGTTGGCAAAGGGATCCCTGTGAAGTCATGGCACATGCAGAGCAGTTATGTGCTGTGAAATAACATTCCCTTCTGTATCACAAGTGTAGATGATACCAGTATTCAGTTAGAAGTAGGGACAGAAGGCCAGTGCACTCTGTAATACACCAATATCTCTGTCCTAAGTATTTAAAAGCTTTCTGTACTGTAAGAAAAATCATGCACCCACCCTGTGCAGCCTCCCAGACTTCCCAGCACCAACTACAACCCCACCTTACAAAGCACATCCGTTTCGTTAGACAGGACTTGCAAGCAATACTTGAGATTTAGAATTTTTAAATGCTCACTGATAAATACCAATTCCTGTTCTGTGTGGCTGAAGAACTTCTCTACCCATTTCGAATCTCTGATGTTGTATTAAAAAGCTGGAGGTCCTGCAGTTGGGACACAGCTGTGAAAGTTAAAGGGAGCTGACATCAGTTGTGTTGGTTTTGTTTTGTTGTTCTTTTTTTTTTTTTTAAACAGAAGTTTCATGGATATTTTGAATCATTAAGAAGATCTGCTTCTTGCAGCTGATCTGTCTTCAGATGTTTGCTTCTTGTAGCCTTGTCTGGGGCTGTTTCAGTGACAGTACCTTATGGTCCTATTTTATTGTGCAAAGCTGATGTTTTAAGCGTTCTGTCTAGAAGAGTTGTTACATGTTCCAGAAGTAAATCTGGAAGTCAGAAAAAGAAAAAAAGCACTGTGAGCCAGGTTACCAGTAATTACCAGGTAGAAGGGTTTGTTTCTTCATGGGGAAACGCTATTTGTAATGTTTGCTTTTAAGGACTAACAAAAAGATGCACAGAAAGGAGGTGTTAGGTGAGCCATCCCCAGCCCTCAGTGCAAGAGCTGGGGTGTCTGGGTTGAGCACCCTGGGTTCTGTTAGGATGAGAAGCAGTCCTGTAGTGCTGAGCACAGGCTCCCATGGCTGCTGAGTCTCCATCTGAACGAGGGACTGTGCTTTGGTTTGGGCTATTTGGGATTCAGGTAATGAGAGCTGGAGGTCAAACCTCTCTCTCTGTGAAAGCCTTAACTCCCCCCCTCCTGCCCCCAGCACCTAACTTCCATTTTGGCCTTATCTAATCAGGACTATCCTGCTACGAGGGGGCTGAAATCAGCTCCCACCAATTCTAAATGCCTCTGGATTTTCCTGTGCAAAGCCACTATCTCCCTGTAGATACCAAGTGCCATCCCTGGACAACCATTCCCCACAGTGCTCCTACCCCCCAAGCCTGCCATCTCCAGTTCCCTGTGCTGTACCAGGTGCTGAGCATCCCCTTGGGAACAAAAGCTTTCAGCACCTTCCAAACGAGCTCCTAGAAGCGCACATCCATACACCAAGATGGGTGCTGCAAACTTCCCTTAAGAGAAGAATATCTCTATTGAAAGAAAGGCACGCAGCAGAAAACTTCCCCCAGCATCACCCCAGCCTTGCACAGCCACGTGAGCACGTACTCAGGGCTGTGTGCTCCCAAAGAACAGCCTACCACCAGTGCAGGGCCACAGCTAAATAACACGAGGTTCAGCCCCAGGCACAAATACAGATGAGCACTTCTCTTTTAGCTTTGGTAAACACTGCTAGGATTCAGCAGTCATCCCCACACCCACCCCACGCAAAGCCATATAGCCAACTATGCAGTTCTGCTCTTGCACTGTGGTTAAGCTGATGGTCCTTAGTTTTTCCATGCCCATTAATTGATTCGCAGTAAGTCAGTCAAGATATCTTTCCAAAATCATATCAGCTATGAAAGACAGGGCATTGTGCATCAGAGCAAGGAGAGGAGGTTACACCAGATGTCCCAGGAAGGTAAGTTGGTAATGCAGTTCTCAGCATCCTAGCAGATAAATGGGAGAGAGAGCAAGGGGATGGCAAGGCAAACAAAGAATAATCCATTACAAGGCCAGCTCTGCTCAGATAAAGTAATTTACTGCCTAACCTCAACTCCCAGCCAAGATGACAAGCAGCGTGATCTAAAATAATTCCCCTATACTTACCACAAGTAAGTATACCACAGTATCTACATCTTCAATCTCCACCTCCTAAGTTCTTAGCTGAGTTCTCCCTCATGCAATGCAAGAGTCAGGGCGCAACTCCAGCTCTGAATTTCCACCTCAACCTTGGAGCAGTGAGTGACCCACAGGAGACCTGTGAGTAATGAGGAGCTGACCCCTAGAAAGTCATTTCTGATTTTCAGAAGAGGCTTATCAGGTGAAATCTATATGCAGAAGTGACAGAACGCCCACAACTTTGTGCCTATGTCTTTCCAGAGATGCTCATTTTGCGCTCATCATTTCAAAGGGGTTGGTAGGGATTGTATAAATGGCTACACCAAACCAAAACCAACCCCAAAACACGCTGTTCCTCTTTAACCCCAGAAGGGACAGAACCTCACATGCACTCTCCATTCAGCAGTGGCCAGGGCATTGCCTGAAGCGATGCGTAGGTAGGAAATCTGGATGAGAAATTGTTTCAGTTTCTTTTGTTACAGCGGCTTAGGCATGCAACACTTTTCCCCAAACCTTGTGCTACAGAAACCCGGTATTGAAGGCATGGTCTGGTGTAAGCAACCATCCAGCAGAATACCTTTGTGTGCAGTCTTGCCTCATCCAGTCTGTGGGGGTGGCGGGGGGTGGGGGGAGGACAGGGTTGTTTTGCTGTTCATTTTCCTGCTGTAGAAGACTTGGTTTTTCTTTCCCTGAGCCGCATGAGAGAAACGTCCCAGAAAGTCTTGGGTTACCTTTGGAGTTCCCTTCACTCTAATTTATATAGTGTCTTTTTTTTTTTTTTTTCTATTTTTTTTTTTTGTGAACTGGTGTAAAATGTATATGCTGACAAGCTCATGTATTTTTATGTAAATATTTTTTGTGGTTTCCCCACTGCCCTCCTCTGTAAATATTTAGAATTCTCATATTCTTCTCACCTTGTATGATGCAGATGTGGTTTTGTTTCTGTTTTTTATTTGTACTGTAATGCAACAATCCAGACTGAGGTGTCTTGTGGTATTAAGCAAAAGCAACAGTCCCACTGAGCTCACACTCAGATGTACAACTTGACAGCATTAATCAAGCCAGGTTAAAAACTATTCCTGTGTATGTGTGTGTTTGTGTCTCTGCCTCGTTAATTAACAGTAAAACAAAACAAAACAAAGCAAACCCTGGAAAGCCATTTCATGGCCACAGCAGGGATCTCTAAAGCCACAGGACGAGGTGACTTTGTGCTCATGTGCCAATACCCCAAACTGCTGCTGATCTGCCCAGTCAGACTGCAGCAAACAACAAACCAGCCTGGGCATTTTCAGGTTGCCGTCCTTCTCACCCAGCACGACAGGGCAGCAGAAATAGCTCAGCACAGAAGGCGTTGGGGCAGGGAGGTGGGGATGGACAGATGGCAGCAGCTCTGTGGCCTTTGCGCCCGGTCAGGGGGGATTCTGGCACTGCAGGCATATTGATTCTTGTTAATTAATAGCAAAAGTTGTTGGGAGGACTTTCAGCAGGTCCCCTCTGTGCACCTGTAATGACTGGGGTTTATCACAATGGGACAATGGTGAGGCTACTGCTGTGCTAACTTCTGCTTGGGATAGAGGGACCCTGGGAAGGTCAACAGGCAGCCCCCCCCACCCCAAAGCTGCGTGCTGAGGTCAGCAGCAGTGCTTCTAACACGGGCTCCTAACACAGGCAGAACACGGTGAACAAACACAAATCACTTTGCTCAAGTCCACAAGAACTCATGTCATTTGTGGCAACACTATACATTAATTGCTAAAAAGATCGGGTCCACGGTCAAACCTGTCCCCTAAGACTCAGCCTCAACACGGAGGGCTGTAGGGTTGCTCTGGTGGTTTGGCCTCAAGCCACAAAAGCAAAGCAAGCAAGGGCACAGCTTGGAGCAGCCCCCAGCATCACCGCCAGCAGGGCGCTGGGGGCTGTCCGACGCCCATCGGAGTGCTGCGTGTGTGCGGCAATGCCTGCATCAGCTTCCAGCAGCAGCTCCCTATTTCCCTCCCCACGTGCTTCCCACCAGGCGGCACTGTTCAACCACTTCTGCCTCTAAAAGTCAACTTTTGAGACCGTTTACGAGAATTAAGCTTCGTTGTAGCCATTTCTGTTCAGGTCCCCAACTCCTGACACGCAGGGAAAGATTTGGGGTTTCGTTTTCCCAAGGAAGAACATTCGGTGCTGCAGCAGCACAGGTGCTGTGGGTCCCTGCACTCCTGCCAGGCAGACACACAAACTGCAGAGCTCAGCAGTTTGCTGCTGTTGCTCAGAAAACCATCAGCTGTTCCGGGGCTCCGTCCCCAGAGGAACGCTGCCATCTATTTGCTTAGCATCAGACGCACCGGTACAAGAATTCAACGACAAACAAGTCATCCAGAAGCAGCAGCTGAGACTGGAGAAGCATCACTGCTCAGTCCCTCCCTTGGTGCCTTTGTTCCATCCCCCGAGATGCCCCGCTATATTCTAGAGGGCTCTGAAGAGCCCTGGCCACAAGCACCAAGTCGAGCAGCCATCAGAGCAATGCCAACACAATGGCAGAATGCAAGGAGCCACCTGAGGCTCTCCCTTCCCAGCTTATCTCCTCACCTCCAGAGGCTGAGCACCTGCTGCAGGATGCAGCCGTGCCCCCAGGCCTTGCTGCTGCTTTGGGGGCTCCAGGGAGTGACAACAAGTCCACAAAAGGTGGGCACACAAAAGCCAAAGCCTCCTCTCCTCCAAATCAGCGCTCAGTCTCAAAGACAGGCAATCTCATCAGTAGCTATATTCTAGGGGAACGCCTTCCTGCTGCACTTCAAGTTGTAAATTCAAACACAAGATTTATAAAACAAAGTGCCAGACAGGGCCAGGTTCTCAGACAGGCAACAGAGCCACATCCACAGCCCAAGGCTTGCTCCCAAGGGTGGGAGACATGCCTCCTGTGCTCCTTGCCCTTCCATCACCACCCGCTCATCACCTTTCACAGGTTTCACTTATCTCAAAATCTTTTGGTTTTCTTTCTGAGGGGCATCATAGCAGTCACCTTACATAAAGGATTTGTTTGTTTGTTTTGCACCTTTGGTTTCTTTTCTCTCCCTTCAGTTTCATTTCTCCCCATTCATCCAGCCTCAAAGGATGGGAACAGGAGCACAGTCTGTCTCAGCTTCTACAGCAGAAGCTGGGATGCTGGGAGTGGGTGGGTGCACAATGAAGCCTGTGCCCCCCAAACACAAATGGGACAGCATGTTGGGCATCCAAGATTCACCAAACAAAAGGGGAGGTTTGCTGATAACACTGCACAATGCAACAACCTTCCAGCTCATGCTTGCTGAAGTGCACATAGGGTACAGAAGGTGCCTCAGTTACCACAGAGCAGTCACTGGTTTCTGTAACACAGCGAGAGGAGGGCAGCTCTGAACACTCTCCTATTTTCCCCCCATACAAAAGGCTCTTGGAAAAAGAAAACAGCGTTAAAGGACAACTTTTTAAAATGGAACAGTATTCTCCTCAGTCAGCAACGCAACAAAAGCACTTTAACAAAACCCCAAACCACAGACATCTCCTTTCTGCCCCAGGATTGTCTATCTCATGCTGCAGGATGAGCACAGCAATCAGCATCGCTGTGCAGAGCACTGCCCTGAACAGCCCCAGCCCAGGTGTGCTCTTGGATGACAGCAAGACGCTTTGTGCTCCATCTGCAGCACTCACAAACCACACCCTGAGCCCCTGCGTGCCGAATCTCACATCCTTGGCCAACGGAATTTGTGGGTTTGAATTATAGATGCAACCTCTGCTCCTGCACACACATCAGCATTTCTCCACAGAGCGTGGCTCTGCTCCCGCTCTCAGATCAAGCAGCCTAAGCGTCCTTGTTCCGGCCTTCCTCCAGCTCATCTCCTGGAGGATGAATAATGGAGCAGTGGTGAGGAACAGAAAGGAGCAGACATGTCTGTTTGAGGTTTCAGGTCAGACAGAGAGGAGCTTAAAACCCAAATTGGTCAAATTAGAAGGAAGCTGTTTATTTCCATCCGCCCACAAATAGCATCACTGGAAAAGAGGCTCTGTCATTGCCTGATCCATCATAAAGGAGAGGAAAGGCTGCAAGGAATTAGGATCAGTCTCTTTTCCCCTACAGTTATCATGGTTTCCTGTGTGTATCACAGCTGCAACTCAGACCCAGTGCTTGGGATGAAGGCCTGCACATCTCCAAAATTCAGACCTGGCAGTAGTTTCACCACAGGGACTGGCTTTCAGTACAGTTCCTGAGCTACAGCAGGCTGAGCTGAGCGTGCATGACCCTACAAACACATCCCACCAGCCTGCTTCCCTTCTGCATGGTGCTCAGGCTATGGGGGCTATGAAGCTGCCCAGGGGCTCCCTAAAGTAATGAGCTTTTGCTTGCCATCTTGAGTTGAATAAACCAACTGTCCCAAATTTCATTAATGTGTATTAGATTAACACTCCTGCTCTCAACATCTGCTTCATCTATTCCTGTAACATCACACAACAGAGGGGCACCATGCCTTGTACTTTGACTTCAGCCTGCTCCTAATTAATCAGCCCTTCTTGGGCAGAGGGTGTCAAATGGTGACCAGAGGTGAGAATGGGGCTGTGCAGATACTGCCCAAGATGGTTGCAGCCCCATGATGACTGATTTTATCCTCCTGGCTTCAAACCAGTCTCATAATTTACCCTTGCATGCTGATGTGAGATCTACAGCCCTTTCTGAAGCTCTCTGCACTCAGCAAAACCCGTTTCAGGTTTTAAACATTAGCTTAGCTCAAGCATCAAGAAATCAGGCACGATCTTCAGAGGTAATTAAGCAGCTAATCAATGTTGAGAAGCTGAGCCTCTAATTGCTCCTCAGAAACACAAAGAGGGCTTTTCTTATTAGTTTTCCCAGGCAGAGAAGCAGGATGGAGCTGTACCAGACTGCAAGGGATTGTGCCCAGCTTCCCTGCTTCTGCACGTGGGCTTTCATGCTCCAAAACTGCACCAGTGCTTCAGAAGGAGAAGCGTCAAAGCAATTCAGTTTGAAGAGGTTCTTTTTCTCTCTATCCCTTAAAACCCTGTGAAACATTTCCCAACTTAAGCTCATCCACAAAGAACCACCAGCATGGAAGCCCTGATTGTTCTCTGATTCCTCAAGAACAAGGAAGAAGAGAAGAAAAAGCTGAAAGCAAGAAACCAGAGATGGAGCAGAAGAGCTTCCTCCCACACTGTCCTGTTTTCCTCCCCAAATTGGAACGGCCCTGGTTTTTGTACCAGGCTTATTATTGAGCACCTCCTGAGTGTCTGCCAGTGACTCTACCTGTGTGTGCCAGGCCTGCCAGCTGTACAGCAGACACAGCACGGACCAGGGCAGTGCAGGAGCCTGCTTGCTGTCGAGCAACATCTTCACTTGACAGCTGTGAATTGCCTGCTGTGTACACACAAGATTTTCCATTTAAACAACTGTTGAGACTTTTTCTCTGAGCTGTAATCAACAAATGAGCTGACACTCTTGCCTTCTGCGAATGAGCTTCTGCTAGGTGCCTGGTAACCCACCTGCCTGTGTGCATACCTCTTGTACATGAACTAAAACAAGCAGCAAAGGCTCCCATTACTGAGCACCATTGCTCTGTGGAACTGACATTGTGCAGAAGTCCCTCAGCCCAGGGACGTCACCCAGCAGCAAATGCTGGCAAACAACTCTGGAGTCCTTTCTCTGAAGGCTTCTGCTCTACCCAGGACACCAAACACTCAATGATTTGCTGGTTCAATTACATTTTCTGCTCTGTTCTTTCAAAGGCAATGTCAGTGCTCAGTGTTTTCTGCAAAGAGAAATCCATTATGGATATTTCCCAGGGTACAGTGCAAGCCAGCCTGGCATCCTTGTGAAAAGGCACAGGAGAGAGATGTGCAAGGACAGGGCTGACTTCACTTCTCTGCAGCCTTGTAAGTTTCCTGGACCTCAAGTGCTCGGGTCACATCTGACATTGCTGCAGCTGCTGAGCCTGGCTGCCTCATTGAGAGTCACAAACAGCCCTCCCAAATGCAATTAGGAGAAAGAAGTGCACTGTGCCCTGCACGTGCAGTTTATCAATCCGCTACTGAAACTTCAAGGTAAAAC